GGAAACCCAAGAAAGAATTGATACCTTTTAATTATGGTGTTGGTGAAAAATATTGAATATACCATGGGCTGCTAAATGAACGAACAAATCTGTCTTGGAAGAAGTCCAGCCAGAATGCTCATTAGAAGCAAGAATGGCAAAACTTCATCTCACATACTTTGGTCATGTTATCAGGAGGGACCAGTCCCTAGAGAAAGACATCATGCTGGGTAAAATAGAGAGTCAGCAAAAGAGAGGAAGACTCTCAATGAGATGGATTGACACAGTGACTGCAACAATGGGCTCAAGCATAACACTGATTGTGAGGATGGCACAAGACAGGGCGGTGTTTCGTTCTGTTGTACATAGGGTCACTATGAATCGGAACCGACTCGACCGCAGCCAACGACAAGTATTAACTGAAGGAATGAGTGCTTGAATGAATGAATGGTGTTCTGAATAAGACAGAGCCTGGTTTCCAAGAAGCAAAAATCTACTCTGTCCTGTAGGGTCAGTATGAGTCAGAATCGACTCGATGGCAACAGTTTTTTTGTTTGGTCATAATCTTGCCTCAGTTTATCTCTGCAGCCTCATTCCCTCTGTGAAGTAGAACTGCCCCATAGGGTTTCCAAGGAGCGGCTGGTGGATTTGAACTGCCGACCTTTTGGTTAGCAGCCATAGCTCTTAATCACTACGCCACCAGGGTTTCCAAGATGAGCTTTATAAAGTTTGATAAAATTTAAAGTTTATCATGAAGATAAAGCAGGAGTCACTGAAGGCTTTGAATCGGGAGTAATTTGATTTTTTTTTTTTTTTTTTTTTAATGAAGAGCTATCTGGGTGAATGTGGAGAATGAAGAGGTATGTGGAGGTAGGGGCGGAGGAAGGAGTTGAGAAGGCCTGAAGGCTGCTAGGACGCTGCTGTAAATTCATCTAGTGTTGGTGGTGGTGGTGAGAAGCCTTGCATGGGTAGGTGAAGGTGAGAAGCCTGGCATGGGAAGGTGAAGGGAAGGTTTGGGAGATATTTAGATGATATAATAGGACCTGGTGATTGATTGGTTGTGGAGGGTGCAGGAGAGGAATGATTAAGAAATGATGACCATGTGTCTGGCTTGCACAATTGGGTGGGGAATAGTATCATTCACTAAGATGAACTCTGGAAGCAAAACAGGTTTATGGGGAAGATGATGAGTTGTGGTTTTGTCTTGTCGAGATTGAGGAGCCTGTAAGACAAAGAGTAGACATATGTGGGTCTAGAGTTCAGAAGAAAGTTTTAGACTGTATCCCCAATTTCCAAACAACATATAATATCTCTGGCACCCAATAATTATTAAAATATTAAATGAATAATCAAATGAGTTCAGGGAGCAAGCAGAGATGAGATCAAGTACACAAGTAGAGTGTTAGACTCAAAAGAAGATATAATACAACTCCTCTTCGGGGGAAGAGAGGAAAAGATTGTCTATCGGCCTTGAACATCTAAGCAAAGTGTTACAGATTGAATTTTGTTCCCCTGAAATATGTGTTGTAAATCCTAACCCCTATACCTGTGGTTATAATCTCATTTGGGAATGGGTGTTCTTTGTTTTGTTAACAAGGCAGTATTAGTATAGGGTGTGTCTTAAATGACTCTCTTTTGAGATATAAAAGAACAGATTAAGCAAGAAAGCAAACAAGGAGAGATGGGGGAAGATAGACGCCACACCAAGGAACCAAGGTACAGAAGCTGAAAAAAGACAGAGACCTTCCCCAGCGTGAACAGAGAGAGCCTTCCCCTAGAGCCGTCACCCTGAATTAGACTTCTAGCCTCCTAAACAGTGAGAAAATAAATTTGTTTGTTAAAGCCACTCACTTGTGGTATTTGTTATAGCAGCACGAGATAACTAAGACACAAAGTAATAACAGTAATACCCATCACACGTAGGGCTTATTATGTGGTATGCCAAGGTCTAAGCACTTTATACATATTAACTGATGTAATCCTTTTAACAGTTTGTTAAAAACCAGTGGCTGTCAAGTTGATTCCGACTCATGGTGACCCTATGTGTGTCAGAGTAGAACTGTGCTCCATTGGGTTTTCAATGGCTGATTTTTCTGAAGTAGTTTGCCAGGCCTTTCTTCTGAGGCACCCCTAGGTAGACTCAAACCTCCAACCTTTCATTTTGCAGCCAGGTGCATTAACCATTTGCACCACCCAAGGACTATTATTATCACCACTTTATCGATGAGGAAACTGAAGCAGAGCAAGGTTGGTCACTTATCCAAGGTGACTGCTTGGGCAAACACAGTGGCAAAGCTGGGATACAAACCCAAGATATCTGGCTTCAGAGTCCATCATCTTAACTTCCACACCATACTGCCTCTTGAAGGTTCTTTGTAGAGTGATACAGCAGTGGTGGGATAAAGAATTTGAGCCATTGAGGCTGGATGAACCCCTGAAACTATTGCTCTGAGATAATTTTTAAACCTTAAACCAAAAATACCCCCTGACATCTTCTTAAAACTATAGTTTAGTAAAGAATGTCTGCCTTGAGCACTGTGCTCTTTTAAGATCTATCTATATGGGATCAAATTGACAATAGCAACTGCAAAGATTAGATAGGAACCTTAGGGGGCAGTGAATTTATGTTAATGGAGGAGGAACAACTTGGAAAATGAGGGTGAGAATGGTTGCACAACTTGAAAAATGTAGTCAGTGTCACTGAATTGTACATGTAGAAATTGTTGATGTATATTCTGGTGTGTACATTCTCAACAATCAAAAAAAAAAAAAAAAAAAAAACCCAAACTCATTGCTGTTGAGTCGATTCCAACTCATAGCAACCCTATAGGATGGAGTAGAACTGCCCCATGGGGTTTCCAAGGAGGGGCTGGTGGATTCGAACTGCTGACCTTTTGGTTAGCAGCCGAGCTCTTAATCACTGCACCACCAGGGGGCTCCGTTCTCAACAACAGCAAAATTAAAATTGTATTTTAAAAAAACCTGAGTGGAAAAAGAACAGCAAAAATACCTTCAAAAAGCAGTTGCCATCAAGGTTTGTGAAGAGGTTTGAAATAGCTGTTGTTAGGAGTACGGTACGGGGGTCCATTAGGAAAAAAATAAAAGGACTGTTGAACAGCCCTGAAGGTGCTGATGCTTTGTAATGGACTCCATTAATTGGTCAGGCCAGTTGACTTTCTGTGGTAACAGCAGTGAAGAAACTGATGGTCTGGTGAAGTCAAGTTTGTGGATTGCTGGTATAGGGAGGATGGAGAGGTCAAGAAAGCAAGCTGAGGTGAAAACACATTTGAAGTAGCTGAGCAGGAAACCCAGGTTATGTAAGAAAGCCAGGAAAGTAGGAGCAAGCTGATGAACTGATAGAATAGACCCAGGGACCCAGGAACTAGATGAGGTCATCACAACAAGGAAGAAAAGATTCAGGAGGAATGGAATATACGGAGAAATGGAAAGATACAGACTCGGTCAGAGAGAGGGCTTCAATGGTCAAAATCTGGGAAATGGCATTAGGGGATCGTCCAGAGGGAGAAGAGGACTTAGTGTTTAAAATCTGGAAATGGAGTTAGGGGATTGACCGGATGACTGTGGAGCATCTGCCGCAGAACTGAGTTACTTCGAGTACAAGAGGCTGAATCATCTTTTCCTACCTTTCCCAAACCCCAGTTTATCTGTGTTGATGCTTCAAATTCCCACAAGCCAAGGACAAATCTCTTCATGCTGCAATTAATGGTAGAGCTTAAAAAATAAAATAACCCCATGGGAGATAATTCGATGACCTGTGTGCAGTCCCTAAGTAACAGTTTTAAATTCCTTCCCTAGAGCTGGTTTAGATATTTAGATCTCAGTTGGCATCAAGCTGGGAAGAAAAAAACCTCTGGAGAAGGTGGCTCGGCACCTGTCAAGTTGGCTTAATTGTAGCCCTGGTTGGGACTTTTGGAAAAGTAGCAACTAAGTGTCTATAGAAACCAAATATTGTATCTTTCTAATAATCCATCCAAGTCAAATGCTTTTGCAGATGTTCTCACAAAATAGGTCACTATTCACTGCAAATTCTGACATAAACCTCTAGGAGTCAGTGTACCAGTTTTTACTTGATTACCTGACAAATTCCTCATATTTATCACCACTGAGTGCAGCAATAACAATTCCTTTGGCTGCAGCAGGTGAGACTATAAGGGCAAATTATCTTTACTAGTTATAAAAAATGGAGTAAGATTGGAGGATTGGTGGACTCTGTCTTGGTACATCTCAAATGCTTTCACAACTATAGTGTAGGGCAGTTTAGGTACAAACAGATGTATAAAGGGAGGCAATATGGTGGATGGACAAAATGATCTCTGGGTATTCCCTCAATTTACCAGATTACTTGTTATACTATACCACTAGTTAACTGCAGCAGGGACTGTAGCTCTGCATACCCTGCTCCCAGTGGCAGGGTTGAAAGAGAGCTTTAAGAATTTCCAGGGGAGGGGATGTGCTTCTAGTAAACTGTCAGGCTCCTTTTAGGAGCAAATACTTTGGGGTTAGGAGCTTTCGGAGATTGGTGGTAGCCTAGGCTCCTAAAAAGTGTCCGGCACCCTAGATTTTACAGGTAGAAATTGTGGATGTTTTAGTGTGTATATTTTCACTAGAAGTGAAAAAGAGTTTATCTGGCCGCTAAACCAAATCTATTGTTTTCTTGGCTGTAATCTTTATGGAAGCAGATTGCCAAGTCTTGCTTCTGTGGTGTCACTGTGTGGATTTGAACCACCAACCTTTAGGTTAGTAGTCAAATACAAACCGTTTATACCAGCCAGAACCCTAAAAGGTATTTATTACATAGTTGTTGAACACAGACGAAAGTTTGATTAGGTTTATAAAATGAACAATTAATGCCTTCTTGAGAGTACTGTATTTGATGAGAATGAAATATTATATAAAAACACTGATACAAAGGTATTATTCTTAATACAAACAGGACAAAAATGGCTTGAAAATTTCCCTGAATGTCACAGTTTATTTGCTATGAACTATTTTCTTGGTAAGTGGAAGGTAATTTTCACTGAAGACACAGGAAGCTCTGGTTTAATCTTTTTAGTCATCTTGGAAAAAGAGGGGTATCTTTTTTGCCTATCAGTTTCCTCAACAACAGGAAACAACAACAAATGAACAAAATAATGTACTTAGGGCGTGGCATTTATTCGGAATAAAAATACACTATAAAAATAGTTATTTCTGTTTATTTTAGTGATTTTTCTGGTTCCAACACCCCTCTGGTTGGATTTGCTGTGCTGGAGAAAATCTGAGGTAAGGCATCATGAGTCTCACAGGGAGAAGACAGGGTCATCGTGAGTGGATCACACTTTCCATTTTATAAGATGTGCCACTCTGCTAATCTAATCACATTTGATGAGAAATTTAATTGTCCAAGAAATTTTATCATAAAAGTTTTATATCTGTCTCCTATAGATGAGTATCATTTTAATTTATGATACACTGAGAACATTCAAGAATTATATCTTGCATTTATGATTTAAGAACCTACATTGAAAAATTGAGACTTGTGTTTATATTTATGTAACTATGATGATATGGGAAACAAGAAAGCAAACAAATGGGTATTTATGAAAACTGGTATTTCAAGAAAGGGTTTGAAGTAAGAAGCCTTTTCCAACCCCTTTGTAAACTGGCGGGGGGTGGGGGGAGTCATACAATTACTTTAAGAAGAATTATTTTCCTAATTGTACTCCAGAATATATCAAAGGGAAAACATTTTGCAATATTAAGACTTTTACCTCCTCAAATTTTAGATGGATTTCTTTATAGAATTTTTCTGATCAGCATTATATGAAATCCTCTAGTTGACAGAAAGCCAAATGTTTACATTCCTCTTTAGTTAAATGAATTTTTATGTATTAACACAGATGTTATTCCAGTAGTTACCATATACCAAGCTGAAAGGAATAATTGTTATCATCCATGTGCCGTATAAATATGAAGTTAAAATATAATTTTCACTGATGATCAACACTATAGATTCCATGTTATGATTAATTCCAGGAACACAAAATTCTGCATCTTCAGTGGAAAGTGTACTTTTCAGTTGTAACAACATCTTCAAGGAGTTTTCAGTTTGTCTTTCTCTTGCTCTTTTTGACTGCAAAGTGCAAAAGATTCCTGAACAAACTGCCTGCACATTGGGCACTGCTGGAAATACCTGACACAACCATCACACAAGCACGTGTGTCTACATGGCAAGAGCACCCAGTTCACTGGCCCATTCTGGCAGACAACACAGTCCTTGCTGGTCTCCTCAGGTGACTCCACTTCACTTTCAGAAAGTCCGGCCTTTTCTAACAAACTTCTGTCTGTGCTTTTCTCTTCTGGAGAAGTACTGCTTGAGGGAGTGGAGTTATTATTTGCAGACATGAAAAGTTGCTGAAAATTAAAGAAACAAGTTTAAAGATAATTACAAATGACATTTAATCTTTAAATCGGGGGGGGGGGGGGGTCATAAAAGCTGTTGAAAATGTACAAGCTAGCAAATCTAAGAAAAGGGAGGACTCATTTGCAGAGCCTAGAGAGGGAAACCAAGAAAACAAAGAAACGGGACATTTTCTCTTTAAAAATTCTAGGATTTGAGGTCTTTGGGTGGTATATGCTTATATATACCACACAAACGCAGCAAAGATATGTACCTCAAAGAAGAAAATATTTGGTGTAAAAAAACATTTAATTTATAAAATATAATTAGCTAACTTTTTTCTATAACAACTCACTGAAAAATACAATATCTCCTTACAAATAGCTATTCTTTGAAACTCTGCAAACAAGAGACAGAGATAAGACTACAGGGTACAACTTACCTTAAGATCATGAAATTGACCTTGAGCCAGGAGTAAATATTGATACAATATTCTGCAGGAAAGCTTGTAAGTCTTATCAGGAATATGAATTACTGACACCATTGAAATCTAAAATAAAAAATGAACAATGTTAAGTACTTTACCTCCTTAGATTACTACACAGATATGTGAGAAATTCATCTTAAATAAAAATAAGAGATTGATAAATTAGAAAATTTACACTATTTCATATAAATTATAGTCTCTGAAGAGGAACATGTTTTTTGCCTGAGTTATTTTAGTTATGCTCAAATCCTGATTATAGATATAGATGAATTACTGTGAATTAGCCAGAAAATCCAGGAAAAACCTACATTCAAAATAAATAAGCCTACCTTCCCAAATTAGATTATAACATATAGTTTACTTTGGCTTCTAATAATATTACGTTTGGAAAAGGAGCAACAGGAATAGACACGTTCAATAAGCATTAATTTACTGACTTAATTTTAGGAAGGAGAGTGAACAAGGAAGGTTAAGTACACATGAAAATAAAGCATTAAAGCCTTCTTATTCCTTTTTAGATTTTGTTAATAAAAATTATTATAATTAATTACCATTTACAGTGATATTAGTATTGGCATACTGTCCACATATACAAATGGCAAATAAGCACATGAAAAGATGTGCAACATAATTATCTGTTAGGGAAATACAAATTAAAGTCACAACAGGATACCACTATACACCTACTGGAATGGCTAAAATTAAAAAGACTGACCAAACCAAGTGTTCGTAAGGATGTGGAGGAACTAGAACTCTCTCATACACTGCTAGTGGGAGTGTAAAATGGTAAACCACTTTAGAAAACAGGCAGATTCTTAAAAAGCTAAACATACACCTTCCATATGATACAGCCATTCTACTCTTAGGTATTTGCCCAAAGAGAAATGACAGCATATGTCCACACAAAGACTGGTATTTGAATGTTTATAGCAGCTTTATTTGTAACATCCAAACAGTGGAACCAACCAGAGTATCAATAGATGAACTGATAAACTGTGCTATATCCATATAACGATATGTAATAAAAAGGAATGAACTATTAGATGAACATGGATAAATCTCAAAATAATTATGCCAAGTGAAAGAAGCCAGAGTACATAGTATATGATTCCATTTATATAAAATTCTAGAACATGCAAACAAAACACAGTGACAGAAAACAGATCAGTGGTTTCCTGGAAACTGGGGGAGAGGGAAAGAGGAGGAGACAGTGCTTACAAAGAGGCATGAGGAAACTTTTGGGTGTGATGAATTTAATCACTATGTTAATTGTGGTGGTGGTTTTATGGGTGTGTATGTATGTCAAAACATCACATTACACACTTTAAATATGTGCAGTTTATCGTATGTCAAATATCCTTCAATAAAGCTATTACATAGTGAGGAAACCTCCCAGAGTAGGAAAAGAGAGAGATACAAAGCAGATAAAAAAATAAAATAAAATCAAAGCACCAGCCCAGGAGGGGCTGAATATAGGAATTCCAGAAGGACAGAACAGAGAAAAGGGCTTACCTAGATTTTCTAATTTTCTTTTCCTGCCATGAACATGTATTACTTGAATAATACAGAAGAAAATAATTAGGTAAATATATAAATTTTAAAAAGCCAAAATTTTGCACCAATGTCCTCTGTCTTCCTTTATCTACCCAAAACATCAAACTGGTTCTTACCTGCACTACCTACATGTAATTCTTGACTGTTATGATAGGAATGGGAAAGTGTGTTTAATTTTGTTTTTAAATTTAGAGTCCCTGACCCCCAGATAAAATAATCAAAACCACATATGAAAAATGAATATGAAATACTCAGTTTGCTTTTGAAATTTAGAGAACATTAACACAAAATATACTTAAAAAAAAAAATCCTGAAGATGGCGGAGTAATGAGACACCTCAGGTGGTCCCTCTTACAACAAAGACTCGAAAAAACAAGTGAATCAATTATATATATGACAATCTAGGAGCCCTGAACATCAAAGGAAAAGTTGAGGAATCGGACAGAGTGGCTACGGGAGGGAGAGACGGTTCAGAAGCAGTGAGGAGTTGCCAGACCTGACCCGGCAGGAGCTGGCACCCTGTGGGCCGGACTGGCTGGCATGCACGGTGAGGCAAGCAGTGGCATTCGGGACACATTTTCCACGTGGGGAGAGATGGAGTGGTGGAGAGTCTGCTCAGGCCTTCAGAGCCAGTGAAAAGCGGCGCTCGATCAGCAAAAGATAACCATGTGCGTTTAACCTACCGTGTGGATCAAAAAACACCTTGTTTGAGAAGAACATCTGTCCCATTTACCTGCTCCCTCCCCAATCTGCACCGGATCCCGTTCCAGCTTCAGCGATTGCCAACTCCCCCGGGATGAAAGTAGGACGCATCATGTGCCCTGAGCCATTCTCCTGGCCTTGGCGAGGGAACAAATTAACAAACAGGAAAAAATAATCTGCTGACTCCCCTAACCTGGGAACTCAGGGCAAGCACAACTCCTTTGCCTAGGCACAGGCATAAGAGGTCCATGGACTTTGAATGCCTTTCACCCCTGCATAGACCTGTGTGGGTCCATTTCAACAGCAGCATAGGCCCTGATTAGCACAGTACAAACAAGGTATATACTTGAAGCCGAACTTCACTGTTATCAGCTATGTGGTGGAGTGACAGGTTCAGGACATTTGATACTGCTCTGCCCATTAAGCAGGGTCCTCATCTATCCACATCAGGGGCCTGAGGACTGGTGGCTCCACCCATACCACCCAGCCACCTGTGACAGGGGTCCAAGAATAAGTGGTACCTCCCAGTCCTTACAGCCAACAGCACTGGGTGCCCATAGTGGCTGCAAAACCCACCCACCTACGCACTCTAGGGAACAGGGACATACTTTTCTCCCAGATACTCAGGGGCAGCCATCAGCCCCCTGCCTTGCTTAGTGCGTAACCCCTTACTGCAGCCAGAAACCTGTGCCTACTCCAATCACCCCTGCCTGTCTAGGACTGTAGGTGAGACCCTGCACCACACACTCGATGAACGACTATCTGGACACTTGAGCTCACATACCCAGTAACCGATCTAACCACCTGGTGACAGGGCGTTAGAACTTCAAAGGCACCAATAATCAAACTAGCTCACCCAAGCAGCCTACTTGGGCATATCAAAACAAAACAAAACAAGAAGCTACGACACAGTAAGCAAACATAAAATAAATAAATATAATAACTTACTGATGGCTCAGAGACAATAGTCAATATCAAATCACATAAAGAGGCAGACCATGATGGCTTCTGCAAGCTCCGAAAACAAGGAATCAAGAAATTTTTTGGAAGAAGAGAACTTCTTGGAATTACCATAGTTAGAATACAAAAGATTAATATACAGAACTCTTCAAGAAATCAGGAAGGAGATCAGGCAAAATGCAGAACAAGCCAAGAAACACAAAGACAAAGCAATAGAGGAACTTAAGAAGGTTATTCAAGAGCATAATGACAAATTTAACAGGCTGCAAGAATCCATAGAGAGACAACAATCAGAAATCCTAGTGATTAACAATAAAATTTCAGAATTAGACAACTCAATAGAAGTCAAAGGAGCAGAATTGAGGCAATGGAAGTCAGAAATAGTAAGCTTGAAGACAAAGCACTTGACACCAACTTATTCAAGGAAAAATCAGATACACAAATTTAAAAAAATAAAGAAACCCTAAGAATTATGTGGGATTCTATCAAGAGGAATAACCTACGAGGGATTGGAGAACCAGAACAGGCAGTGATAACAGAAAATACAGAGAGAATTGTTGAAGATTTGTTGGCAGAAAACTTCCCTGATATCGTGAAAGATGAGAAGATATCTATCCAAGATGCTCATCGAACCCCACATAAGGTAGATCTCAAAAGATTAAGTCACCAAGACATATTATAATCAAACTTGCCAAAACCAAAGATAAAGAGAGAATTTTAAGAGTGTTTAGGGATAAACAAAAAGTCATCTACAAAGCAGAGTCCATAAGACTAAGCTAGGACTACTCAGCAGAAACCATACAAGCAAGAAGGTAATAGGATGACATATATAAAGCATTGAAGGAAAAAAACTGCCAGCCAAGAATTAGATATCCAGCAAAACTGTCTCTCAAATATGACGGCAAAATTAGAGCATTTCCAGATAAACAGGAGTTTAGGGAATTTGTAAAAACCAAACCAAAATTCCAAGAAATACTAAAGGGAGTCTTCCAGTTAGAAAATCAATAACATCAGATTACAACCAAAGATTAGAACACAGGACAGAACAACCAGATATCAACCCAGATAGGGAAGTCACAAAAATAAATCAAAGCTAAAATGCTGAAAATAGGGAAACAGAGACATCAATATGCAGAAGATGACAACATTAAAACAAAAAAGAGGCACTGAAAAAATGTAGTCATAGATCTTTCATATGGAGAGAAAGTCAAGGCAATATAAAGAAATAAAAGACTGGTTTAAACTTAGTAAAATAGGGGTAAATATTAAGGTAACCACAAAGGAAACTAACAATCCTACACATCAAAATAAAAAACAAGAAAAACATAAAGACTCAGCAAATACACAATCAACAACAATGAAAAAGATGAAAAGAAAATACATAAAGAAAAATGACTCAGCACAGAAAATTAAGTGGAACAAAGAAAATGTCAACAAGACAAAAAAAAAAGTTATCAAAATGACAGCACTAAACTGATACCTATCAATAATTATGCTGAATGTAAATGGACTAAATGCACCAATAAAGAAAGAGACAGACAGTGGCAGAATGGATAAAAAGACACGATCCGTCTATATGCTGCCTACAAGAAACACATCTTAGACTTAAACACACAAACAAACTAAAACTCAAAGGATGAAAAAAATATAAATCAAGCAAACAACAATCAAAAGAGCAGGACTGGCAATATCAATCTCTGACAAAACAAACTTTAAAGTAAAATCCACCACAAAGGACAAGGAAGGACACTATATAATGATTAAAGGGTCAATACACTAGGAGGACATAACCATAATAAATATTTATACACTCAACAACAGGGCTCCAAAACACCTAAAACAAACTC